CTGATTGCATATATTATTCATATTCTATTGAATGACTATACTGATTTTCTAATTCGGAAAATTTGTGCATATATATATCATCATGCCTTCAAAACGCCGTTCGACCACAACGCGATGTTCAAACATGAAAGACACCCCTTCCATCCCTACAGCAGCAATAACTTCAGTTTCTATTGCAAAAGCTGCTACTGCAAAAGCTTCTACTGTGAAAGTTTCTACTGCAAAGACTTCTTCTGCAAAAGCTACTACTGTGTAAGAGATGGGCTACAAGAGTAATTACAAGAGTAGTGTGAAGTACGCACAAAGGATATTAAGAAGGTAGCAATCTCTATTGTTCAAAGCTAATCGCTGATCTCCTCAAATCCACGGATATCAGCGAGCATTATATAGATAATATTGCCATCGCCACGTATCTATCGCCACGTATCTATCGCCACGTATCTATCGCCACGTATCTATTTCCTAATATAGATATCTCCGTTGCTCCTATTACAATTATCTCCCTTCTTCAAAGGCCTGGTCCCCAGGGCTTCTTATTGTGCGAAGTTCGTAATATGTGCTGTGTGGTTGATATTGTATAAAGTTCGCAGGATAGGACCGAATTAATTGTTCGGGTTAATTCCGAAGCGTTGCTGACTCGGGAAAACGTTGTTCCAGTTCCGGTGTTATCGCGGTCCAATCATGATTTAGGCACAACCCCTGAACCCCTTTCCTTTAACCTTTACACCACAAATCGTATCCTAACGAGATCATCACCATCATCACCAACAACGATTTTTTTTTATTTAAAAGAATACACCAATTGATCAAGCAAAGTACACTGTATCTTCCCATGCGATTTTTATTGCGACATTCGAAGTTTTGGTTGCGTGGTTGCGTTTTCTATTTTGGGTCGGATTTTGTGTTGTTGCAACTTCTTTGATCGATATTGCAATATTGATTTTAACCACCAACATCTGTTCTTTTCTTGCTGCTTCTTGCCTCTTCTCTCTTCTTAAAAGGTTCTTGATACTGATTAATGTCGTAATAGAATGTCAGAACCAGCTGCTTCCGTTGCCGGTTCAGAACCTATGGAGGGTGATATGCTGAATGCCATCGAGAGCATTTGCTTGGGTTGTCTGGAAAGGTTGCAAAACCCTCCAGTAACCCTTGCTTTGTGAACGACGGGCGGACACGCTGTCACGCCTGCCATATATCGAATACTGGGCAAGGATCTTGGTGCGTTACTTGAGTTATCCGATAACGCTGGCGAAGATGAGGAAGCGGACGGTCCCGTTGAAGTGTTAGAAAGGAACGCAGCAGCATATTGCTGTCGTTGTATTCGACATTTAACAACGTAGAATTAACCTGTATTAGGTGCCAGCAGATGCCGTCGAGTTGGCCCAGGCGGCTATTAACGCAGCTGAGGATTTAATTGTCGCTGGTGCAGACGCTTCGAACGTTAACGTTTTACAGGGCGCTGTGACAGCTGCAGTTAAGTTCTTCGCAGCGAAGATCCGTGGGGCTCAACGAAATGGTTCCCCTGAGGCCCCGGCTGAAACAGTGATTGGTGAGATCCCGGTGGCTACATCGCCGGTCGCAGCTCCCAAGTCATCGTTGAAACGTCGTGCTTCGCCAGTTGAGGAAATCCGGGGTAATAAGCAGGTCTGCCTTGGTGACAATTCCTCAAATGACACTGGCCAAGCTGAGGCGGATCTGTTTTTTAATCCCTGGGCGGAATAAGTATATCCAGCAGTCATCGTCGCCTTCTTCGTTTTCGTTTACTGACTGGCTCCTGATAGGTTTTATTAAACTGTTCCAAGTACTCCTGGCTGTTCACCAAATTTTCTTCAGGTTCCCAAGAATTATCCGCGTCTGTGCAATCCTTCCATTTAACAAGATATTGGGTTTGACCACGGTACTGACGTTTATCCAATATAGCTTCAACTTCCCATTCCTCCTGCGCGTCTATAATTATCGGTTCTGCCTGTGGGATCTGTCCGTCGCGCGCGTGATACGGTTCGAGAAGGGAAACGTGGAACACGGGATGAATTCCTTTATATTGTGGCGTAAGCTTCAGTTTGTACGCCTGCGTACCGCGTATATCAATTATTTGGAAGGGACCCAAAAATCGATGATCTAGTTTGGGTGAAGGTCGCAAGGTGGATATATTTTTGCACGCAGCATTACCCAGTCCCCTATCTTAAAGCTTTTTGGTATATGGCGCTGATCATAATACTTTTTCTCAGCTGCTTTGGCAGCTTCTAGGCATTCTCGAATCCTGTTTTCCGCTTGCTTCATCCGTTCCACTTGTTCTATCGCCGACTTTGACGCGCCCGTGCTTGGGGGTTCCACGTCTATACGAAGTTCAGTTGGTCGGCCGATCATCGCTTCAGATGGTGTCATTTTTATCGATGCGTGGAAGGCGTTATTATATGCCCATTGCGCCAGGGGAATCCACTCTATCCAGTTATCCTGCTGGTAGCTGCAATATGTGCGAAGATAATGTTCAATCACCTGGTTCAATCGTTCCGTTTGGCCGTCGGTTTGCGGATGGAAGGCTGTTGATAATTTTCGTCGGACATGGAGTAAGTAACATAATGTTGACCAGAACTTGCTGTTTATTAATGAATCTCGGTCGCTAATAATGTTCGCAGGTAGGCCAAAGTTTTTCGCAAGTTTCCATACAATAATGTCCGCGAGTCCTTCCGCATCTAGCTTTGAAGATGTGGGTACAATTATGGCCCATTTAGTGAACGAATCAACAAATACGACAATAGCATTGTAAGTTTGACTTCCCTTCTTATTATCTGGTAGGCCTTCAATAAAGTCCATACTGATTGTATGCCATTTCTTATCTGGCACTGGATGTGGTTGTAGCAACCCGTACGGCTTATGCCGCGGTATCTTGACGCGTTGGCAAACATCGCAGGTCCTCACATATTCTGCAATCTCATCGCTCATACCATGCCACGAGTACTTGCGTTTGATCGCTTCGATGGTTTTGTCACGTCCAAAATGGCCACCTTGGGGATCATCGTGGTTCATTTTCATTATTTCATGCCTTACGGCCTTGTCTTGCGGTACGTAGACTTTACCATCTTTCCTGAGCAGGCCATCTTTGTCTACTGCCCAGGTCGAACGATCACCTACGCTAGCGTCACCCACCTCTAGTCTTCTGCGAAGTTCAGACGTGCCAGCGTCCCTATTCTGAACCTGCAGCAAGAGTTCGACAATAGATTCAGCTACCTCTTCGCGATAGGCTATCTCGGACTCAAATACCTTAACGGCTAGAATCCGTGGCACCAGGGTCCCTAGGTCTAACCCCGTAACGCCGGCGACTTCGTTCTCATCTGCAGGTGCGTTCTTTATCCTGCAGGGTTTGTTGTCATCGATGACTACGGGCCCCTTCGCCCAACAATTTTCTTTAACTTGCAGATTTTTTCGCACCATCTTGACACATTGGTCTAACTTTGTGTTTTCTTTTGTCTTTAGTGACTTAAAGATCCCCTTACGCAGCTTCTCTTGCAGGGTAGGGAGCCCCGTCAAGGGAGCTGCGTGTTTTATATAATCTGAGTGACGACTTGGTGCATCTGCGGGATTATTTTCCCCAGGATGGTGCTCAATTTCAAAATCGAACGCTGAGAGCATTTGCATCCAACGAATCTGACGCCCATTTAGCTGCTTCGTCGTCATGAAGCGCCGGAGGTTGGCATGGTCAGATAAAACAACTATTGGGTGCCTGCTACCATGTAGGTAGTGGCGCCATTGCCTGAAAGCTTCTACAATCGGCAACATTTCTAAATCATATGTTTGATAACGTCTTTCTGCTTCTGTGAGTTTTCTGGACCAAAACGCGATCGGGTGCCAGTGACCATCATCCATTAATTGCGATATTACTGCGGCGATTGCAACGCCAGATCCGTCCGTTTCTATACGGAGTTTTCGCTGCGGATCAAAATGAACTAACAACGGTGCTTTTGTAAAGCATTCTTTTAACTGCAGTATTGCGTGCTTGCAGTTCTCGCCCAGTTGGACAGGTGCGTTGTTCTTCCCCTTTTTTGTTTCGTATCCTTTTAGCAACTCAGTCAGGGGTGCCGTTATTATCGAGAACTTGTATATGAATCGTCGGTAGAAGTTGACGAATCCTAGGAATGTTTGCAGCTCGTTTATTGTTCGCGGTTCAGGCCAATTTAGGATCGTATCGACGCGGCGTTTTTCGACAGTGATGCCCTGCGTGGTAATCACAAAACCCAGAAATCCAATTTCTGTTGCATGGAACGTACACTTACTAAGTTTCACATATAGTCTCCATCGCCTTAAACGTTCCAGCACATTCTTAACATGGGCGACGTGTTCGTCAAGCGTATTCGAATAGATTACGATATCGTCAAGATAAGCCACGCAATATACATCCAAAATATCACTGAGGGCTTTGTTGATATAAGATTGGAAAGTCGCAGGGGCGTTGGTTAGCCCAAAGGGTAAAACCAGATACTCAAAGTGTCCGTATCGTGTTCGAAACGCCGTTTTCCATTCATCCCCCGCTCGTATGCGGATTCTATGATACGCGTCCCTAAGATCCAATTGCGTGTATAATTTGGCACCTGCTAATCTATCGAGTATTTCACTTATCAGGGGCAGCGGATACCGATTCTTGACTGTTATTTCGTTCAACCCTCGATAATCTACGCAAAGACGCAGGGTTCCGTCTTTCTTCGGTGCGAATAATACTGGGGCACCGGCTGGGCTCTTGGACGGGCGTATCCAATTCTTCTCTAATGCCTTTTCGATATATTCTCGGAGGACGGAGAGTTCTTGAGGTGACAGGTTATATATCGGTCGGTACGGTGGTTCCTTGCCAGGTTTGAGATCTATGGCATGATCGTGGGGTGCGTGTTCCGCGTCAGGTATATCTTCTCGGAATACATCAAGATAATCCTTATAATCATCCGGGATATTTGGCTCAGTCGCTGCATGCGCAGCTCGCAATGGAAAGGCGGCGAATATAATGTTGCTGTTGTCCATTAAAGTTGCAAATTCCTTAGCGGTATCTAGGTGCACGTGGCTGATATTTGACGCTTTCCTATAGGTCCAGCATCTTCGCACCCAGTCAATGTCGGGGTTCGCAGCTTGCAACCATGGCATACCCAGAATTACATCGTATCCACTGATGTCGGCTTCTTCGAAATGGTGGAATCCTTCCCGGAGGACATGTTCATCATCGATAATCTTCATTGCAGCTTTTCGTTGTCCATATGATTTAACCCTATGATTATCAACTGCTTCCACTACTTTCGGTTTACCTTCTGACTTCGAGAAATATTTCAATGCCCAAGCATGGGACACGAAGTTCGCATCCGCGCCAGAATCTACTAACGTCCACGCCATTGACCATCCTGCTTCTGTCAACATCCAGGCGTTCATTGCCAATAAGTGTTTATCTCGCAGCCTAGTCGTCTGTATTCCCAATGCAGCAGCTGCTCCTACGATTGGGATTGCTAGTTTTTTGCTTGTCGGACTTGGTTGCGCTCTTCGGGGTATAACATCCAACAATCGTTTGCGACATGCCCCTTCTTATGGCAGTGTGAGCACTCCTTCATCCAATTATATTTATCCTTCTGGTTTGTTCAGTTAACTCGTCTGTTCCCTCTCGTTTCCATTAATTCCGGCGGTTGCTAGATTTATCAGAACGACGCTGATTCCCTACGAATATCGCAGGTCTGCCTTTGCGAATGGCGCGTCGTCGCTCCGGCATATTTTCCTCGAGAGTCTGTAGAGTTCGAAGCAACTCTTCGTAGTTCTGGGGCTCTTGATTTCGACGGTCGAGTTCGGTGCGTAGCACCTTCAATGCCTTACTACGCAGGTTATCCATTCTCTGTTCCTCGCTGTATGGGGGTAAGTAATACTCCCAATCTTCGAGATATTTAGAAAAGTCGCGTATCGACTGCCACTCCTGTTGCTTAGCATCCTGGAATCTTTGGCTCGCCAATCGACGCTGGTTCTGCGGGTCGTTAATTTGCATCTCTAGGTGTGATAGCATATCGTCGAATGTTAACGGTGTTGCTCCTCCGCGTCTCTCGTATGCTGATACAAAATTCAACCACTTCTGCTTAACGTGGGCATCAAGGTAGAGTTTGGCGTCGTTTATCTTGCGTTCTTCTTTTCGATAATATCGACGGTGGCGTGCAAAGAGAGTCAACATGCGATCTTTATAGTCCTCAAATTCTAACATATTCTTTCCTCGATAGTAATCCTTAATCTCCAATCTCGGCGGTGTTTCGTTATCATCATCCATATTGTCTGCGGGTCGATTTTGCGGTAGTTCTGCGGCGATATCCTGGGTTGGTCGGGACTCGATAAAAGTATCTTCGCGAATCTGTGCTTCCAACTCGTTGAGGCGTTGTTGCGCGTGCAGAATAGCTAACTGTTGCTCTCGTTCACGGATTTGATCGTTTAACTGTTGCAATCGGGCATTGTGGTCGTCGGAGGTGGTAGAGGATTCGGGTTGGTTCCCAAGGGATCTTGCGCGTGTCGAAACCATCTTGCGTGTTTTAAGTTGCGTGTTTTAACTAACGTTGCGTGTTTTAACTAACGTTGCGTGTTTTGTTGTAGGTGTGCGTAACAACGGACCACTCAAATAAGGTTTAGAGCGATTAGAATTGTAAGAGATGGGCTACAAGAGTAATTACAAGAGTAGTGTGAAGTACGCACAAAAGGATATTAAGAAGGTAGCAATCTCTATTGTTCAAAGCTAATCGCTGATCTCCTCAAATCCACGGATATCAGCGAGCATTATATAGATAATATTGCCATCGCCACGTATCTATCGCCACGTATCTATCGCCACGTATCTATCGCCACGTATCTATTTCCTAATATAGATATCTCCGTTGCTCCTATTACATACTGTCCCATCTGTTTCTTATGATCTACATAGAAAACACATTCCGTGTATCGATCTGCCTCCCTCTAAAGGCTAGCCATATCCAAATCCTGCTGGCACCTACGTGCCAACCTCTGCTACTCGGGAAATTACGTGAATGAGAAATGACCAAAGTGTTAAAAAGTCTACAAAACAGTTGATAAAAGCTGCATCAAAATCAAGAGAATCTGCTACAAAAACTCCATCTTTACCTCATTAATCTCATTCAGTAAAAAAAGTCAGAATTCAAACATCATTATGAAATTCATCTAAGTCTGTATATGAAGATATTGAGAAACAATCAACAATTGAAATTAATGATGTGAAAAATGATGATGATTCTCTTTTTATATTACAACCATTTAAAAATTTAAATGAAAAAGAAGAAGCTACACATCATCTGTATTCATTTAAAAAAAACTTTTAAAAAATTGTTCACAATAGAAAGATCTATAAAGTATACTGAATATTTTAAAATACTGATAATAAAATCTTTACTTCTGAACTTGAAGAGTCTATGAATGATCATATGCAGAAAGTTAACTTTCTAATTGAAATCAATTTATATATATACATCAACAAAAAATTGACTATTCAGAAGATTTTATCAAGAACCACAGTTTATTTATTAATTTTAACTAATATTAAGAATGTTATTATGATTTCACTGACATCATTAATTGAAAATCTTTTTTATTCAATTACCACTTCAAATGCAATTGTGAGATCAACAACTGAATGGAGTAATTTACACAATTATAATATTGAGGATTTTTTATTGACTTTAACATCTCAAATTACAGAGCTTTTAATGAGTCAACATTGAAATTTCCTTCAATTTTTTTGGAAATTTGATTTTGAAATCAAAGTGAATTGTAAAGAGCTTTTGAATCAGTTTAAAAAATTAAAATTTATAAAAGAGATTAATATTTCAAACTCATCATTTGTTTCTGCATCTAATCAATCTGCTTGAATTAATCAACTACTACAGCAGAATTCTACACACTTGAATGCCATTCAAAATGCTGATGAATTTCAATGATAGTTGATGAATTGTTTTCAATGTTGATAATAGAGTTGCATCAATTAAAATAATTATTGCTATTCTAATTCTGCAGACACTTCTTTGCATTATAATATTATCATTTTTTAATATAAATCATGAGCAAATGCTATATCATCTGAAGATGCAACTTTATAACAGTCATCAATGAAACTTTTACAATATTGACAAATAGTGCAAGGTTCAATTTCTCAAAAATCTCATCACTCTATTAAACAATCTACTATACAGCAACCTAAGAGTATCATAAAATGTATGTTAAAGATGCAACAACAAATGCAAGAACAATATATACAGCAATGAATAATGAATCAAATGAAAGCAATGAAAGAAAAATAAGAATGCTGTGAAGAATTTCAAGAATGACATCAAATGCAATGAGTTCAACAATTTGATTGACAGCAATATTCACAATGAGAGCCGCTTTTCAATTTTTATTTGCTCAGTCAGTCTTTAACATTCAGACCTTCACTAATTTCAAGTTCTTTTTTTAAGATAATTTTATCAAAGTTATTCAGTTCTATCCAATCTGATTTTGATGATATTGATATTCTCATTCTCTTTTTTAATTGAAGAATTATCCAAACATCTAATGCTGAGAAGAGGTAAAAATGGAAGCAGACTAAGAATATAATTTTTATAAATGACTGAAATATCAAAAATCTTAAAAACATGGAAAACTGTGAAACTTCTATTTACATATAAGTTTTGAACACAGAAATATTCAATAGCTTTGTCTGTGAATTTCAATGAGAGCTTCATTTATTTAAAAATTATTTCCATCGATAAAGAGACAGTTCTTCAAGGATCACAGCTGCTATGACTCTGATAAACTGAGAAGCAATGTGATGAATGTCAGACATTATAAAGCTGCATGACAACCCTCTATTTTCAATTTAAATGAAGGTTTATAACTCGGTGATTAAGGCTTCTATATTAGTTATGTGAGGATGAGTGATTATTTTTGACCTTGTTACAATTTGATGAGATGATAGCCTCACTTGAAATATCAACCTGAATAGTATGACACTCTTCATGACTAATATCTTTTTTTTTTGACAGGTACCCGCCGCGGCAAGAAAAAAAAATAAAAAATGACATGAGTGAGGAATGAACAGAGAGCCTTCTATTTCAATGACAATAACATAAATAACATGCAGTTGATAAGTATGACACAACACATGATTGATGAATATAACAGTGAAATATAATAGTGATTAATTTCAGATGAAAGAGTGAAAAAGAAAGAATTTAAAATCTGATTTTCATACTTCTGTATCTTTATTTTTATATTTATCAAAAAACCTTTTAAATTGAATGAACTCTTCTTCTTCAATATACACTCCTTCTGCAGCATGTCTAAATTGCAATTGAGTAAATCGGTCACAGCAAGACTCTTGAATAGCCAATTTTAAGAATTTTTCATAAATTGTACAAGTTTGATGAAGAAAGGTTCAATGACATTTCATTTAAGTTTTCAAAATTGAAAATGTAAGCTCAATTGAATTGAAATTTGAGGAATAAGAAGAAAGATAATGAATAAGATGATCAATTGTCTGAATTAACTGAATTACTTCACCTCTAATATGAATTGACAATGTTATTCATGATAATAATCATCAGCTGATTGTTGAATGCAGTATCAATAGTTGATAAAAGTTTATTTTGAAGTCAAATTAAAAAACCTTTCGAATTTCAATAACCTTTTTTAATGCCTGTGCAAGGCAGATATTCATCAAAAGTCATGACTGCACAAATACTTCAAATCTTTCCTCTTGTTATATCAGTCTTGATTGATGCATCATCATCAATTAAAGACTAGCTATGAGTTCGCCAGCCAGTCTTCTCATTGGAAAATAGACTTATTCAGAAAAACCAAATCATCCCGCCAGAAAATTGGGGTAATATATATTGGA